GCAATGATGTACAATGTGCGGACAGCATTCTGAAGGGCAAGGTGGGGTGCTCTGCGGGGGAAGGGGGTTACCAGGATCAGGGCCACCTCTCCCGGGGAGGTGATGTTTAAGCTGGCCAGCCTCTCAGAGGCCCAGAGCCCACCGTTAACTTCCCCACCTTCTAAATTTTCATAATCAGCCGCTTCCTTTGTTCCTCTAGCCCTGGGGGGTGGTAGCTGCTCTGTGTCACAGTTAACCCCTGATACCTTTTTAAATGACCCTTCTTTGCATTCTCTCAGTTAAAAGAACCGGGGTGCTTTCTGTCTCCTTGTAGGACTCTGAATGGCACAGTGAACAGCTGTAAGCCATGCAAAGAGCAGAAGGCAGCACAGTCCTGGCCGAGGCACCTGTAAGGCCAAAGGCCGTGAGGCTAGAGGGAGCAAGGCATATTCCAGGAGCCAGGACCAGTGGGGCTGGAGGGGATTTATGGGGTGGCCAGTAGAATAAGGTGAAATTGGACAGGTCGGCTCTCACAGGCCATAACGTGGAGTCTGCATGGGATCCTGAGAGCAACGGGGAGCCGTGGAATGTGAAGCGACTGAGTGATTTAACTTTCCAACATTGCGCTGGCTCCGGCGAGCCTAACTCCCGGAGGGGGCAACAGTGGGTAGTAACAAGACAGTATATTAAAAGGTGCTTCCTTCCTTTCTGCTTGGAAGGGAGCGGGTGTCTTAAGGAGGAAAAACGTGGGTATGCTTCTGGCGCAACATGATGTCACAGAATAAAGGACAGAACCTCACGGTCCCTAGAAAACTCAACGGTAAAGTGAATGCCAGGATCCTCAAGGAACCTCTACTAACCCCAAAGTGGGCCGGAGAGTCTCAACCGATGGCTCCCCGCGTGGCTAAAGGGAGAGGCGGAAAGTGCTTTCGGGCCTCCCCTGTGTCTCCTGGCTTGTAAGTGTGACACCTGTTCCCCCCTCCGGATGCCTTTGGGCCACGTGGGGGTGACAGCCCCAAGCTCCTCCTCCCGCCCTCGGGGTCCCACCCCCGGCACAGAGACCGCAACACCCAGGAAAGGCCGGGCCGGAAGCGGAAGTGAGCCGGCGGGTGCGGGCACACTGCATCCTGGGAAATGTAGTCCGTAGAGGCTGGAAGAGTCCGTGAGAGCGATGCATTTTGGAGAAAGTAGTTTTCAAGGGATCTGAGAACGCGCGGCGGTAGCAGAGGTGATTCACCCTAACCTGACGCGGTGGCTGGGGGTTAACGATTTTTAGATTTAGAGTGAATATGTAGGATTTGTTTGTCTCCCAACCACCAACACCCGGGGGGCGGGGGGGGGGGGCGGAGAATAAGACCTATCCACGCTTCTGTGATGGCAATGAGGCCTGAGTCGGTTATTCCTCAATCAGACATGTAAACCGCCTGTAACCTTCCTGAACCTCGGTTTCCTTATCTGTAAAATGGGCAAATTAATCACTCTCACAGGTCAGGCTTGATAACATCCATCAATTAACTAGCAAGGTGCTTAACACACCTTCCTTGTTTAACAAATCCTTCCTCCCTTTGAGTCGGAGCTTACGGAGCATATGGATGTGTTTTGTAACCAAGAGCAAGAACTGTTCTTCAGGGGCACCTGGGTGGCTCAGGTGGTTAAGCCTCTGACTTCAGCTCAGGTCATGATCTCAGGGTCCTGGGATCAAGCCCCAAGGCAGGCTCCCTGCTCAATCAGGAGTCTGCTTCTCCCTCTCTCTCTCTGCCCTTCTCCCTGCTCCTGTGCGCGCTCTCTCTCTCTCAAATAGATAAATAAAATCTTTTAAAAAATTGTGCTCCTCTGGAGCACTTGGGACTTTGTCTTTGGAAAGTAGGATTTCTTGCCAATTCCAGGAGAAAATGTAAGGAAATGTAAGGAAATCTTGTCACCCTGAGACTTGACAAGGATGTGTGACCTTACTAGCCAGGACACAGTGAGATGCAAGTTAAAAAATAAGACAGCCTTCTGGCACAAGCGTCCTCACGCAGTACTAGTGAGAGTATTAATGAGTATATCCTCTATAAAGGGCGGTTTATGTAGGTGCAGTGATTCCACTTGTAGGAATTCATCCTACACACACTAGACAGTTTCAAAATGACAAGTTTCAGAATATTCACTGTAGCATCGTTTATGAAACATGATTGGAAACCACTAAGTCTCTATGGGTAGAGGACAAGTTACATAAATTGTAATGTACTGGGATACTATGTGCCATTAACAATAATGAGGTGTAACGTCACCCATGTAACATCCTGCAAAAAAAAAAAATGCTTTAACCAAGCATATTGTGAGGAAACTATCAGAGAAATTCAAACTGAGGAATATTTTGCAAAACTGGCCTAGACCTTCAAAAATCTTGACGTGGTAAAAGAAAATAGGCTGGGAGATTGAACGAGATTAAACGGACATGGCAGTTAAATGCACTGAGCACTCCTTCATTGGAACTTGGATTCTTAAAAATGACATTTTAACTAGACACCTGGGGAAATTTGATTATGGGCTATATATGAGATAAGAGCATTGTATCAATGTTGACTTTCCTGAGTGTGATCATTGTATTGTGGTTATATGGTAGAATGTCCTTCTTAGTAGATATCTGCTGAACTAACTCTGGGCTCTTGGATAGTTTAGAAAAAAAAAGAGAAACAGAGCAAAGGTGGCGTTTATTAATAATTGGTGAATCCAAGCTTTAAAATATGGTTGTTCATGTTCCTCTTCTTGCAACTTTTTTATAGTATTGAAACTTTCAAAGTAAAAAGTAGGCATGAAAAAAAAAGCGAGGAAACTCCATATGCATTGATGGGGGAAAAGTTTCAAGAAACACTGGCAAGACTTTTTTTTTTTTTTTTTAAGCAAGGTGCAGAGGTGCAAATGCACAAAACACCCAGAGAGAAGACACAAGAAAGAGGTGACAAAAGCTGCTTCTGGGGCAGGGACCTGGGGGGAGGGGTCAGGAGTGGGAAAGAGACTTGCTTTCCAACCTTACCCTTTTAGACCTTTTGAATTTTGTTTCATGTCCATGTATAACCTGATCAGATAAAACATAGTAATTTCGAAGAAGACTATTTCTGGGAAAGTACTTGTGGTCAGAAAACCCCAGACTGGGCTCCCCTACTCCCCAGCTGTAGACCTGTTGGGAAACCCAAAACAGAAGGAAGGAAAACCAGTTACTTTCACATCCTTTCCCACATCTGCTCCTCATCACAATCCAGTGAGTCAGGCAGGTTTTAGCGGACCCATTTTATAGATTAGGAAAACTGAGGATCAGAGAGTCTTAGCAACTTGTCTGAAGTCAGACATGTGAAGTGAGACACTATTATTAGAGCTGAGATGGAAACTGAGAACTTCCTGGTGACCCAGCCTGGCTCCTTCCCTCCTAGAGGTGACCTCTTCAAGCTCTGAGGGTCGGATATGGCAGGGGAGGGCCCAGGGTAGGAGGGTAAGGGTGGGGTTGACTTCCAGGCTCTGGGTGCTCACTGAAGCTCAGCCCAGCTGCCTTCCCGCCCTTGCTTTTACATGGGGCTCTCCAGGCAGGAAACAGAAGTCAACACTGGGCACCCAAAGCATGGGTTTGATTTACATGTTCATGCGCAACTGGTTTGGGGGTTTATTTGGGGGACCAAGAACTAACTCAGCCAAAGAACCTCTTCCCTGAGCCCATCTGGGCTGCTTTTTACCATCTCTGTCATCTTAAACAAATCTTAAGCAAAGCGGCCTTTTTAATTAAAAAAAAAAAGTAATAGAGGGATATTGTTATCCAGTCAAACAGTAAAGTATTTGGAGGGCAATTTGACATTTCTGTCAAACATACATATATGTTTTGATAATGTGATCCGGCATTTACAATGGAAAATAATTTTTTTTCTGTGAATATTCTCCCCCAAGTGTTCAGAAATACATAAGGAAAAATGCACTGCTTGTAAGAGAAAGAGACACAGAACTGTAAACAACCAAAAGACTATGACGTTTGCTGGATTTGCTGACCTAGAAAGGTGTCTGTCCGTAGTATATTGTTAAATAAGCAAATTATTTGATTCAAATGTAAAAAGAGCATTTTATTTTCATTTCTTTGAGGACTAGTGAGGCTGACTATCTTTTTCTTTCTTTTCTTTTTAAGTTGGCTGATCGTGTTTCCTCTCGTGTGAATTGCTAAAATATTACTGTCCCTTGGTCTTTTGTCACACAAAATGGGTGTAAACTTCTGGCACCATGTCGCTAAGAGTTTCTATTTATATTTCCAATGCTTCCTTTGGGGGGTGGGGGCGGGATTTTGGAAAAGAGCTTGCTGAACTTGAAGCAGAGGATGGTCTCAGTCTTAATGGAATGAGTTATCCTGTGACATGAAGGGCTCTGAGAAATAGAGGAGCCTCTCTTCCTTTCTTTCATTTCTAGGATCTTCTCCTAAAGCGTCCTGTTTGGTTCTTGGTGGATAGTTTGGAAGTGGAGGTGGTTGTATCCTTTGAAAGAGGGAGGAATGGGAACCAGAGATCGGTTGCCAGGGTCTGGAGAGGGTGAGGTGAGTGAGGGGCCCAGGGGACACCCTAAAAGGAAAAGATTCAGGAGGCACTCACTCTCAGGCTCCCACCCTAGGCACCTCGCTCACCTTGCTCGGGTCCCAGCCCTGCTGACTGCTTCTTGATGACGGAACAGGAGATCTGCAAACAGCTATTGTACTGTAAGGCCAGAGTGGCCACTGATACTCTTCAGAGCCAGACTCAAGACGGTGGTGACAGTGGACAGATAAAATGACATCTGCATGTGGGGCAAGGCAGCAGAGTTCTGGCTCAGCTCCTGAGATGGTGCCCCGGACCCTTCATGCTGTGCTGTTTTGGTGGTGGTGGTACCTCCTTCCCTGGAGGTGTTTGAGGGTTAGACTCTGCAACGAGGAGGGTTCAGACTGGACCTCTGGAGAGATGGGGGTCAACCCATCATCAAACCCATTTTGTCCTTAAGATTTTTCTGATTCTCTCTCCATTTGTGGTAGCTGCATGGCTGGTTTTCTCTGGATGTACCCTGGGCCCAGCCTCCACCTGCTGCCAGCCCGCCGCGGGCTCCAGCGCCTCAGAGATGCCCCTGACACCGGAGTAGCTGCCATTTATCGAACTCATCTGCACAGCAGGCCTTGCATTTAGCGCTCGACACCTCACGCCTCACTGAGCTCTCACCGGCCTTGCGAGGACTTGGTTGTCTCCACATTCCCAAGGAGGACACCAGGGCCCGGAGGAGGTGGGCAGCCTGACGCTGACCACAGAGCGAAGAAGCAGCAGAGGCAGGATTTGAACCCACAACTCCCGAGGCACAGTCTTCGCCGCCGTGCCCCCGCTCCTCCATTTCTCATGCGCTCTGAGCCTGCTGAGTGCTGGCTACTAGATTGGGGGCTCCCACTGTCCCCCGGACATCGGGGATCCCCAAGGCTGGAGGCCTGGAGGCCCTCAGATTTCTGGAGTGTCTTCAGGAGGTCACTGTGGGATGAAAGCAGGTTCTGTCTTCCCCCGACCTCCCCAGGTGGGAGGTTCCCAGAAGTTCAGGCCCAGCTCCGCGGGGCGGCCGCCTTTCCCGCGAGGGGAGGGCGTGGTAGGAGTTGGGACACGTCCCCTTTGAAGGTTCTCTCTTGCTGTCTGACCACTTCCTCTCTTCCCTGGGGCGGAGGCAGCTGTGTTGGTACTAATGACAGCCATCCGGGCAGTGGCCAAGTAGGCCTCTGAGTCTCTCCTGGAAAGGCTGGCCCGGCTGGACTTCCATCCCCTCGCTGCCCCCAGGTCCTCCCCTGAGTCCCCGGGAGCAGAGGGGTAGGGCGGTGAGTGGGCTTCCTGAGCTCTCCCTCCGCCAGACTGAAAACACTGCCCCTTGCAGCTGCCCCCCCCCCCTCCATTCGTGCTCCACTGGGGCTGAATCTGCTTCCAGCAACTTCCATGGAGGGTGTGGCCCAAGTTCAGGACTCCTGCCCGGGCAGCCAGCCCTCTCAGGATGCCCAGGGAGGTGAGGACCCTGACTCTGGGTAGAAGCCCCAGCCTAGCCCCGGGCACCTCAACCATGACTGCCCCTTGTGGGCAGAGGAGCTGTGGCCTGGGAAGGAGATGGGCATTGAGAAATGTGGGTGCCAGGCCTGGCTCTGCTGCCGGTCAGCTGGTGTGCTTGGCCAGGTTGCCTTTCTTCTTGGGCCTCAGTTTCCCCATCCGTGCAGAGGGCATAAATAACACTCCCAAAGGTTGCAGCAATGCATGCGGTGCCGTACGTACGTGCCAAGCAGAGAGCCTGCTACACCCCGAGACTTTAGACCTGCCTGCAGCGGGTCTAGGGTGCAGCCCTCTGCCCCCGCTCCTGCTGAGGAGGCCTGTCACAGCTACCCCGGTCTGTTCCCCCGCTCTGCCTGTCCCAGCGGTCGCTGGCTTCCCACATCTAGCAGGTACGGCCCGCAAGCTCAGGGTGGCAAGGAACGTTACCTGTCCTCTGTGGCCTGTAGCCTCCCCGGCCCATCTGGCCTGTTTGGGTAAAACATCCATGTCAGTCACCGTTGGGCTGTGCCCAGCCCAGTGTTGTGCCAAAGCCCTGGGTCGTGGTTCGTTTTATCGTGGTAACATATGCATAACATAGAATGAACCATCTTTAACGATCGAGTGTACGGTTCTGGGACACTAGGGACATTCACAGTGTTGTGCAACCATCCACCTCCAGAACTTTCTCATCTTGCCGGACTGAGAGTCTGTCCTCGTTAAAGACAAATTCCCACCCCTGCCCCCAGCCCCTGCAGCCCCATCTGACCGCCCTCTGTGACACTTCTATGTGGAATCCTACAGTATTGGCCTCTTTGTGACTGGTTTATTTCGATTAGCATAATGTCCTCAAGGTTCCTCCATGTTGGAGCATGGGTCAGAATTTCCATCCTTTTTATGTTTGAATACTACTTCATTATATGTTGAGACCACATTTTGCTTATCCACTTAACCATCAGGGGACACTTGGCTTGCTTCCACATCCTGGCTGTTGTAATAATGCGGCTACACACGTGGGTGTGCAAATATCTGTCTGAGTCCCTGCTTTCAGTTCTGTGGGGTGTATACCTAGAAGTGGAATTTCTAGATCACATGGTAATTATGTTCGACTTTTTTAAGGAACTGCCCAAAGTCTTGGGGTTTCAAGATAGGACACAGGCGTTGGGGAAGCCCCTCTGGCCACACTGTGGACAGGGAGATGTGAAATCAGGAGCCGGACATCGTGGGTTCAAATCCCGGTTCTGCCATTTCCCAGTGGGGTGACCCCAGTGGGGTCTCAGCTGCACTGTGGGATGAAAGTAGTATCTGCCTCGTGGGGCTGTGGTGGTATTGAGAGTATGTACTTAGAACGGCGCCTGGTACCCCGGAAGCTCTGGGACCTGTTAGCTCTGGGTTCTTCCGGGGATCTGGTCCTGCGATCTCGCTGCTTCTGTGGCCCCACCCCAGCCTGGTCCCTCCATGGAGCATCCCTTTGGAGCTGGTCCTGTTCCCACCCCAAGACTCTGACTTCTTTCCCCCCTTTCCCAGGTCCCTGGGACTCTCTCTTCAGTGAAGGAGTTTCTCTTTCCCTGCCCATGGCTTAACCTCTTGAAAACACAAATCAGGAAGTAATGCCTCAGACTAACTCTGGGAGAACCTGAGCCTGGACCAGGGGGGAAGCCAAGGGCACCTGCCAACAGGTGGGCACGGGCACGGGCGAAGAGGAGCCCTTTCTTCTTTCCTTTGACCTTGATCACGCCATTCTCCGTGGCTGAGTCCGGTCTGGGCCCTGAGTTTTGGGAGGGGTGAGGAGAGCTGGGAGGGTTACAGGCATGATTATAGGGACGGGGAAGAGGCGCTCTGGACTGAGATGAAAGGAGCAGTGGTTTGGCACTTTCGTCATGAGGAGAGTCCGCTGGAGGGTTCCGGTTAGTGAGGGGTGCGGTAGAGATGAGATTACCCCCATCCCTGGGCCAGCAGCCAGGACTCCATGGCTGGAGCCAGGACAGTCCCACCTCTGGTGGAAGCCCAGCTGGTGTGCGGGTGCGGCCTGGCCAGCTTGCCTGGTCTGGGTCCCCAGCCCATCCCCACCCGGGGTGGGGGGAGCTGCTTCTGCTGGCCCTGGGTGATGCCAGGAGGAAGGTCAAGGCAAGACCTGGCGGGCAAGGACTTTCGTCCTTAGAGACTATGCCTGGAGGTTGACCCTAGTCAACTAGGTTGACTTCTAGTTTTTGCCACCTCTACCTGTGACAGGAGGGGACAGAGAAGCCTCCGGGATGCCGCACACCCCATACCCTTTCCCATTCTCTTCCTTTTCCTATTTTGTCTTCTCTGTTCCTTTCTTCATACCAGGTGGTAGGTGATTTGGAAATTCACAAAGCAGTACACTTCTCTTCATAGTTTATCAACATCCAGAACCTGGTAAGGAGTCAGCACTCAATTTCACTGAAGTCGGCTCTAGTGAAGGACTTTCTGCATGGCCCTCTGGCAGAGCTTACTAACGGGAACCGCGACTCCTGATGCTTCTCCTTAGCATTGTCAAATCCAGGCCGGTCTTCAATATTTGCAGACATCCCCAAAGGGGCACTAATACCTGTTCTGGGGCATTAAATAAAATATGCCACGAAGATTAAGTAGAATAACATGCAGAAAATGCCTGGCGCATTATAGTCATTAAAAAAATAGTTACCATTATTTTTTTATTCTTAAAGATAATGATTATATTAAAAGGGAGGACAGTGGTTTTTTGTTTTGTTCTAAAGATTTTATTTTTTTGTTTATTTGAGAGAGAGAGAGAGAGAGAGAGCATGAGCAGGGAGAGGCGGAGAGGGAAAGGCAGAGAATCTCAAGCAGACTCCGTGCTGAGTGTGGAGCCTGATGCAGGGCTCGACCTCAAAACCCTGAGACCATGACCTGAGCCCATGACTTGAGCCAAAACCAAGAGCCGGACACTTTACCAACTGAGCCACCCAGGTGCCTCAGGGAGGACAGGGTTTTTAAAAGTATTTATTGAACACCTACCATGGCCCACGTAGTGCAAGTTTGGAATTCTGCCCTGGGAGTCAAGCTGACTCTCCCAACCTACGTCAGAAGCAGTGAGCTCCATGAAGGTCATCGTCCCAGCAATAGCACAAAGTGAGGGAGAGATAGAAGGGGGAAGAACCAGCTGTGTGTTCTTAGGCAAACTGCCTGGCCTCTCTGAGTCTCTGTTCCCTGATCTGTAAAGTGAGGGTGGATATCCTCCCTTGCCCTTCTACCGGGATCGGGAGTCAGATGAGATAAAACACGTGGGCAGCCTTGGCAAGCAGGAAAGTGCTGCCCGGTGGAGCAGGTGGGTGGCTCTCAGTAGGAGACAAGCCCCTGCCTCTGTCTTTCACTGAAGTACCTGCTCTCAGCTCCCGAAAGCCAGCCCTGCAGACGCTTGGAGAACACCCCTCAGGGACGCTAAAACTGTGCTCTTCTCCAGAGCACTATGCCATTGGGAAAAGAATGTTCTACAAAGTTCATCTAAAGACAATCATTCCCCTGGTGACCCCAGCTATGAGTGTAGACATGCCCCACCCTCCTCTGTTCCATGCCTTGACTTTGGGCCGGTCGATACAGTATGTTTCCAGGGAGACCAGGGAAGGTGACGACGGCATTTCCTGGGAGGAAAGATGGGCTTGTCCAGGGGTACAGTGGGATTTCAGAGGCTGGTGCTAAAGCCATGTGGTGGAGCCATCGCTCTCCCATCAGGATAAAGAACAGGATTGCCAAGCCCATCGGGGAGGCCTGGTGGATGGGCAGCCTTTCCCTTGGAGGGCCAGTTGGATGACTTGCCATTGTCCCTCCTGCTCTTCAGACAGAGCTTAATGGGACAGTAGTAATTTGCTGCTGGTCTCTATTATTATTGCCAGCAGTCATGGGGTACTGATTCGGTGCCAGGAATTTGTAAGATTACCTCCTTGAATCCTCTCAACAAATTTATAACACAGCTACTATTATCCCCATTTTACAGGTGAAGAGGCTGTGGTACAGAGAGGTTAAGTATCTTGCTCAAGGTCACACAGTGAAAGAGGCGAGCCTGGAGCCCAGTCCAGGTCATCTGAACCCAGAGCCTGTGCAGAGGACTGGGCCGTACACCGGCACGGGCCAGGGAAGGACAAGCAGAGAGCCGAGTAGGGGAAAGAGGGAAGGTAATTCCTCGGTCCCAGGTCCCATGCGAGCCTTTTGTTTTTGTTTTTGTTTTAATATTTTATTTATTCATTTGACAGAGAGAGAGACACAGCGAGAGAGGGAACCCAAGCAGGGGGAGTGGCAGAGGGAGAAGCAGGCCTCCCGCGGAGCAGGGAGCCTGAGGCAGGGCTCGATCCCAGGACCCTGGGGTCGTGACCTGAGCCGAAGGCAGACGCTTAACGACTGAGCCACCCAGGCGCCCCGAGCCTTTTGTTAATATTAGTGTTGAAGAGTCACAGACGTCACTTGAAGGGTGTCACTGGCTCTATTTTATAGAGGAAGAGTAGGAGCACAGAGAGGTTGAGTTGCCCAAGCAGGGGAGCTCTACTTTGAACCAGGTGTGTCTACACTGCAGAGCGTTGCCCTTGCGGTGACCCCACCACCTTATCTTGCTTCCTTGGCGGTTTGTTCCAAGTCTGATCTGTCTTGGGAACCCTGGGACCTGGAGCCCAGGCCTGAAACAGACCTACCAGTCCTCTACACATGTTTTCTGAAGTAATATAAGAGATCCCAGTTGTTTCTACTTGCTGCTACTTTGGGTGAGGGAGAGGAAATGTGGTAGGAAGTGTAGTGACCTCGCATTTTCTGTGCATGGATGTTTGCTGGGCCTGAAACCCTGCTCAGATGGAGAGTTAGGAAAAGAGAATCATGTTGGAGTAGTTACGTCTCCTTTACTTTTGGGTGAGTTAAAGAAAAAAGAAAGCTCTAGGAGAGACCCAAATTGAAAATTCTATCCATCTTTCTTCCTACTTTCCTTCCTTCCTTCCTTCCTGCCATCCATCCATCCATCCACCTACCCCATCTATCTATCCATCCACCCACCCACGTACCACCCACCCACCCATCCATCCACCCATCTACCCATCTACCCATCCATCCACCCATCCATCCATCCACCCCTCCATCCATCCACCCATCCATCCATCCATCCACCCATCCATCCATCCATCCATCCATCCACCCATCCATCCATCCACCCATCTACCCATCCATCCATCCATCCATCCATCCACCCATCCACCCATCTACCCATCCATCCATCCATCCACCCATCCATCCACCCATCCACCCATCCATCCTGTTATAAATCTCCCTTAGTAATCTGTTGCTCCCTGGCCCCAAAACTTCATGGTTTAAACAACAATAATTCATTATCATGGTTTCTGAGAGTAAGGAATTCAGGAACGTCTGGCTAGTTAGTGCTGGCTAGTGGTGAGAGGGCTCAGTCCCCCTCCAGATAAGCGCCTCCAGAGGGATCTTTGAGCATCTTCCCAGCCTGGTGGCTGGCTTCCTCCTAAGAGAACAACCCAAGGGACCCTCGCAGAAGCTGCAATGCCTTTTCCATCCTCGCCTCACACATCAGACATTGTCCCTTCCACAGAATTCTGTCAGTAAGAGTCCACCCTTGTTTAGTGTTGGAGGAGGCAACACAGGGGCATAAATCCCAGGAGATGAGGCTCATTGGGGGACATGTTAGAGGCCGGTGACCACCATCCATCCAGCCAGCCGGCCATCCTTTTGTCTTCTGTCCATCCGTTCAATCAATAACCATTTGCTGGGATCCAGTTTGTGCCAGGCCCTGGAAACAACACACATATACCCCAAAACCAGCAGAAAAGAGGAAGCCTCAGAGAAGAAAGCCATTGTTGAACACTTCCCTCCAGTTTTTTTTTTTCTAACATTTTTAAACAACTTTCTTGAGATACAATTCACATACCATACCATTCTCTCACTTAAAGTATACCATTCAGTGGTTTTCAGTGTATTCACAGAGCTGGGAAACCATCGCCACAATCAATTTTAGAATGTTTTTATCACCTCAAACAGAAACCCCTGCCCCTTAAACATTTGCTCCCCATTTCCCCTTTTCTCCAGCCACCTAAAATCACACACTTACTCTGTCTCTGTAGATTTGCTTTTTCTGGACGTTTCAGGTAAATGGGATCATATATTGTGTGTGCTTCTGTGACTGGCTTCTTCGCATGATGTTTTCAAGGTTCATCCACGTTGTAGCGGGAGTCAGTCCTTCATTCCTTTTTGTTGCTAAATATATCCCACTGGACGGGCAGGCCACATTTTGTTTATCCACCCATCAGAGGGTGGACATCTGCCTTGTGTTTCCACCATTTGGCCACCATGACTAAGGCTGATATTAACATTCATGTTCAAGTCTTTGCGTGGATGTGTGTATCCAGCTGTCTTGGGTCTGCACCTGGGAGTAGAATTGCTAAGTCATATCGTAACCCTATGGTTAACCTTTTGAGGAACTGCCATACTGTTTTCCAAGGCAGCTGCCCCATTTTACATTCCCACCAGCAGTGTATGAAGGTTCTGATTTTCCCTCATCCTTGTCAACATGTGTGATTGCCTTCTATTTTTTTTAAGTAAGCCCTACCCCCAATATGGGGCTCTAACTCAAGACCCTGAGATCCAGAGTTCTACCAACTGGGCCAGCCTGGCGCCCCTATTATTGTCTTTTCTATTTTTGCCACCCTGGTGTGTGTGAAGCGGTGTCTCATGTGATTTCATTTTGCATTTCCCAGATGGCTAATGATGTTGAGCATCTTTTCATGTATTTTATTGGCTGTTTGTATATCTTCCTTGGACAAAAATATCTATTTGGATTTTTTGCCCATTTTTAATGGTTTATGTGTCTTCTTGCGTCTTAAGATTCCTTTATAGTCTAGATACAAGTCTTTTATCAGGTATATGATTTTCAACTATCCTGCCCCATCCTGTGGGCTTCAGTTCTTTTCCACTGTACCTTTTTTTCCTGATTACTAAGATGTTTACTGAGGTATTCGAAAAATGCAGAAATGTATAAAGAGGTGGAAAAATAACTACCCAGAGATCATGATTCATAATTCATCATATTTCCTTTTTTTGTCCTTTTAATCAATTCAATTATGTATTTATTTTTTGACGGGTAATATTTGCACAGATACAGCATTCTAAAACTGGCTTTGAGTATTAGAGACTAATGACTTTTTTTTTAAGTGAGCTTTACACCAGACGTGGGACTTGAACTCATGACCCTGAGTTCAAGAGTCACATGCTCCACAGACTGAGCCAGCCAGGCGCCGCCAGAGTTCTAAAGGTTTAATGTTAAGTTTCCTGCCCTTGGCCCCAGCCAGCCAAACTCCTTGCTAGGGATAGCCATAGCCACTGTTAGCACTTTCCTGGTGATTTTTCGGAACTAGTTTATACACACATGCGTATCCACATCAATTTCCCCTTAAATGGTAGGATATTATCCTTTCTACTCAGCCCTTGTCAATAGCAGGAACCCTTCCAGTATTGGCCAAAACAAGGAATTTACTGAAGGATGTTGGGTGGCTTGTATATTTTCCAGAAGGGCAGAGATCCAAGTCTGGAATCTACACCGCCTGAAGCAAAGCAAACCCCAGCACCGGATGGTCCAGTGGAGATAGCACAGCTGATTCTGCTGGGCTCAGACACGGCTGATTCTGCTGGGCTCAGACACGGCAGCCTCTGGTCCTGCTGCTTTGGGACACCGGTGTCCATGACACTGCCTTTGCCAGGTAGATGCCCTCTGACCTCTGCTTCTCCGGTCTCCAGCTTCTGAACACAAGGCTGGTGCTGGTGCAGCTGCCTTACGGGGCAGACGGGGACTGTCTGCACCCTAGCTGCTAGGGAGCCTGGGAAAGCAAGACTCTGACTTCCCCTAAGGTGTAGCCTCGTAAGGGGGCAGGCCCCAGACGTAGGAGGGCAGGTTTTCCTGCGCAGCCCCAAAGAATGGCATAAGACTTTGTTTAATATAAGCGTGTTTTAATTATATAATTATAATTCCTCCAATTATAAAGGCGTGGCATGAGTGAGAGGTGGTATGTTGTCATCAGGAAGCATGTCCCGTGCTGGGGCCGACTAGCTAGCTTCACGCTCACTTCTGTCCCTTTCCTGCCTCCTTACCTTAGGCGTGATTGGAACTTCTCCATGCCCAGCTTCCTCTTTAATAAAATGGGGATAATAATTAAACCTCCCTCCGAGGCTGGGCTAAGGACTGAACGATTTATCAGACTGTGAGGTTTAGGACCAGAGCATCGTATTCGCTATGTAGTTGTTTGCTGTTTTTAGTTCCCCAACATTTTATTATGAATGTTTTAGAACACACAGAAAGAAGAGTTTAACCAATTGGACAGCAAACATCCTGCCACCTGTGATCCTTCTCTGTGTTTGTTTTATCACATCTTATCGATCTGTGTTTCTTTCCAATCATTCATACATCTTAGTTTTAATGTGTTTGAGAGTAATGGCAAATGTATATATGTGTCACTATTACCTTTTTATTCTTTATTTATGTTTAAAAATTGTCTACCTGTCTATTTTAGAGAGCGAGCACGTGCGCATCAGTGGGGGTGGAGGTGCGGGCGGGGGAGGTGAAGAGCAGAGGGGGAGGGACCCGAAGAGGGAGAGAATCTCAAACAGCCTCCCCACCGAGCACGGAGCCCGACGTAGTGCTCGATCTCACCACTCTGAGATCACGACCTGAGCCAAAATCAAGAGTCGGACGCTTAACTGACTGAGCCACCCAGGCGCCCCATCTCTATTACCTTCTTAAAGCGATTCTTAACTGTTAGTTTAAATAATATGTGTGTAAAATTTGTCTTGTCCTTCCCCATAACACAATGAGCCGAGCCCTGGAGGGTGAAATGGCATTTGTCAGGTAGAGGGAGAAGTGAGAGGACAGGCCAGGGGCTTCATACAGTGTCCCTTCCATGGGACATTTCAAATACTTGTTCAGGTTTTAGTTAGAGGAAAGGAGGAAGAAGGGGCTGAGGGAGAGGGCAAAGAGAGCGAACTCCAGATGGCAGAGCCCTTCCTGTCTTCTGGTGCCCTGGACGATTCTGCTCTGCCCCAAACCTGCAAGCCCACTTGACAAAGCAACCTCCTCATATCAATGATCTATTGCTGTGTACTGGATTACTCCCAAACTTACTGGCTTAAAACCACAATACACATCGATTATCAATCCTGGTGTCTAAGGGTCAGGAATCAGGGAGTGGCGGGCAGTTCCGGCTCAGGGTCTCCCATACCGCTGGGAGCAGCTGCTGACTTGGGTTGTGGTCATCTCAAAGACTTCTTCACTCTTGTGTCTGGTGCCTGGGCTGGGACCAGAGAAGGGCCTGGAGTAGCGGGGGTTCCCTGGGACTCTCTCTGTCTCTGCACAGTGCCCAGGCAGTCTCTCCAGCATGGTGGCTTCAGGGGTGCTGGTCTTCCTGAGTCAGCTTGGGGCTCCTAGGGCATATGTCCTGAGCCAGGCAGAAGCTGCCATGCATCATCCCTTCTGATGCATTCTATGGAGCAATTACACAAAGTTACAAAGACTGGCCGGGTTCAATGGAGGAACGTCCACATCACATTGTAGAAGAATAGATGGTATGGGCAGGTAGGGGTGTCTTTGGAAAATACAGTCTCCCACAGCTGGCTTTTGAACGGACTCCCTCGCCTCAGAAGGCCATTTAGCCACCATCGATTGTTACCCAGGCATGTGGGGTCCTGTGGGGGTCTCATCCTCACCCCTGGCAGTTACTGCCAGGTGGGCAGCCCAGTTCAGACCTGATACCAAGGTTCAGTCAATGAAAGATGTTCCCCTGTGGACACTGCTGAGGGAGGTGACACACAGGGAGAGAGCCGGGCAGGGCCAGCTTTGGTGACAGGGAGGATTCAGCAACAGATGAGTCACCAGACACTGAAGTATGTTTGCTTGCTCGGCCCTTTTTTTATTTTTTATTTTTTAAGTTTGAAAAATCCAGACTGGCCTTTCCAGGTGTGGCCTCAGTCTCCCTGTCTCCGGAGCTGCTGTGATTCTGTCAACACGGGCACTGTTTACAGTGGCAACAGCTGTGACCTTTAGAACCGGGAGGAAAACTGCCCTTCTGGATTCAGGCTGTTCTCTCCACACTTGGGGCCATAAACTATCATTCCCCCCAAAATATGGAGGTTGTGGGGCAGGGGCATGAAAGGCAGCCACTCGTAGGGGAAGGCTCTGTCCATCTCCTGCTAGAAGGGAGACCCCTGTGCCCCACTTCATGGCTCTTAGGGATTCTACATCCACTGTGTGCCCCCCAAAGCGATCAGGCACCCCCTCCTGGGGCCTTTGCACTTGCCTGAGAAGTTCCTTCTCCAGATCCTCACTTAGGGCTCCTCCTCTTCCTTGGGTCATGCTCAGATGGCACCTTCTCTGAGAGGCTGTTGGGACTGCCTTATCTAAATCCCCTCTCACTTCTCCCATTATACCCATCTGCTCGGTCACAGCACTCACTGCCCTCTGGGATGACCTTGGTAATCTGTTTCCTTGTTTATGGTCTGTCTTCCCCATTAGAATGTAAGAGCCACAGGGATTTTGGGTCCGTCCCCAGCTCCTATAGCAGTGCCTGGCATGCAGCAGGTGTTCAGTTAACATCTGAGCTGCAGAGCGTCTGAGCCAAGAATGCACAACCATGGAGGAAAGAACGTCTTGGCCAGTCTTCCCGCCTTCAGCCTGGCTCCCTCAACCCACTGTCCCCAGTGGGTTTTCCAAGCCAGAAATCCTCCAGATCGCTCTTCTGTTCTAACACCTTCGGTGGCTCCCCATTACCCCCAGGTAATGTCCAGATGGCTTAGTTAGGCTCGGCAGGCCGGGCATGAGTCAAGCCTGGCCTTCCTTTGGGACACGTACACCCTTCACTCCAGCAGAACTACACCCTGCCCAGAGTGCGTCATCCGTCATCCATCATCCGTGCTGCTCTGTCTGCCACCCGCTCTCTCTCCTGTCCCCACTCAGCTGACAGCTCTCGCCTGTCACGGGCTTCAGAGAGAGACTCACTGCTTTCCAGAAGCCTTCCCGACCCTCTTCTCCCAAACCTGCATTAATGACTCCTTTTCCCTCAACCCCCCCCCCACCTTGGTCTTATCATGTGTAGTATTATAATTTTTTTTAAGTAAAATACGATTTACACTCAGTAAAATTCACCCTTTTGGGTATACAGTATATGAGTTTTGGCAAATTCATATAGTTGTGTAATCTCACTACAATCAAAATATAAAACAATTCTACCACCCCCTGCCCCATTCCTTTTGTAGTCAACCCCCAGCCCCTGGCAACCAGTGATCTATTTTCTGTCTCTGGTTTTGCCTCTTCCAGAATGTCACATCAGTGGAATCTCACCATTGTAACGTCTTGATTCTGGTCTCTCTCACTTAGCGTAATGCATCTGAGCTTCACCTTCCGTGTTGTGCCTGTCATTTTTTTCCCTCTGCGCGACGCGGGCCATTTCGGTGCGTGCACGTTTGTTTATCTTTTCACAAGTTGAAAGGCATTGGGATCATTTCCTATTTTCAGCAAGTATGAATAAAGCTGCTATGGACACCGACAGACAGGCTTATGAATGGACGCAGGTTTCCATTTCTCTTGGGTCCATACCTAGATGTGGGATTGCTGGGTCCTATGATCAGTGTACGTGCGCCTTTTTAAGAAACTGCCCAACTGTTTCCTGAGGAAGCTGCACCCTTTGGGGTTCTCAGCAGCTGCTCCCCACGTTCTCCAACACTGGGTATTGTCAGTTGTCTTTAGTTAGCCATTTTAACAGGTGTGTAACCAATTTTTTTTTTTTTTTTTTTTTTTACCTGTTCAGGTAGGTAAAAATTCATTCACTATCAGGTGACCTCCGGATAGAGCATGAATCTTTCCTCTTCTTAACCTCGGAGCCTAGAATAGTGACTGACACATAGTAGGTACGTAGTAAATGCTTGTGGGCTGGGTGAGTGATCTATTGAATTGGTGTTTAAGGAGAATTTGTCTTGGATTCCACGGGGGGGGGAGGGTTAATCAATGTCTCCTCTCCCAAAGGCGGTCTTTCTGGAATTTGCCAGGAAAACCTCCTTATCTTTGTGGCTTATACCTCTGTATATCCGCCCCAAGTGCCCAGACTGCTTTCCATCTCTGAAAAGGCTAATCAAGTGTTTCTTTCCCTGTTGTTTCAGTGGAAGGCATTGGTGCCCATACTAGAGAGTACAAAAGAATTGTGGGGTGGGGCTGGGGGTGGTTAAAATGCAGATCCCCAGGCTCCACTCCCAGGGTGCTGATTCAGTAGGCCCAGCATCCCTGGGTGCATCTCAGACCTCCCTGAGAACTCCCCCGGGGAGGCAAGAATCCCCTGTGGGAGTGGGGCTCCTGACCTCATCAGCACTGGGCTTCAGAGCCCAGCTCTGCGGGTCATTTAATACCTCCAAGCCTCATCTGTAAAATAGACACAAAAGTGATTGAGCTTCCCAATCTTGGTGCAAGGACTAAATGTATTTACTGAATGTAGGGTCCTGGCACAAGGTAGGTATTAAATAAATGTTACTGATTTTGGTAAACCACAAAGATTTTAATTTTTTTTAAAGATTTTATTTATTTATTTGACAGAGAGAGACACAGCAAGAGAGGGAACACAAGCAGGGGGAGTGGGAGAGGGAGAAGCAGGCTTCCCCTGGAGCAGGGAGCCTGATGCGGGGCTCGATCCCAGGACCCTAGGATCATGACCTGAGCTGAAGGCAGACGCTTAACTGACTGAGCCATCGAGGTGCCTCCGGCCTTGATTTTCAAACAGTTTAGTTTTCTAGTATAACTAAGATGTGCTCGGTGAAGAATATTTAAAAAACACTAGAAGCAGAATAAGTCAGAGACAACGTGTTAATGTATCGAGCAGACTTTTTAAAATATTTATTTTTTATTGAGATATGCATAAAGTTGCACAAGTTGTAAGTGTAAGGCTCATTTTCATCAAGTGACCGCCGCTTGTAACTACAGGATCAAAAGGGAGAATATCACAGCCCCCAAAACCCTTCCTTCTGCCCCCACCAGGCAAAGAGAACCACTATTCTGACTTTAAGGGTGTTGGTCAACTTTGACCAACAAGCCTGGTTTATAACAAAGCTTCTCTCTCTTTCTGGTGCTCTTGGAAACCTCTTGTGCATCCCTCAAGACACAGTTCTGAGGTTACCTCCTCTGAGAAGTCTTCCTAGCCCCTTGGTTTATCTCTCTAACCCAACTCTTATCATTCCTTGGTGGTAAATGTCTCTTCCTGCTATCTCTCCCTTCAGTGCTGAGTGGACTGCCCTATTTACCTAACACAGGGTTAGTGGGTGAATCATGACCTGCCCAAAAGATCTAAGTCCTGACCCCCTGTACCTGTGAATGCTTTTTTTTTAAAAGGTTGACTTATTTATCTGAGAGAAAGAAG